GTGATGAATCTTCTTCTCGCATTCCTGGATTGACAGTGTCATTTATCGGATTAACATCTATGAAGTTGATGGTGAATTGAACATATCTTGATCCTGTTGATCGTCTGCAGATTCGTTCAAGTTCTTCAATTGTGTCATACTCGATTATGCATGCTCTGCCATTGCCTGCTGGTGCACTTTTCGGACCACATGAATGTGAATCACTGAAGTAGTATTTGTCATCGTAATGCATAATTCCTAGTGATTTCGATCATGTTATTAGTATGCCAACCTGATGATTTGTGAACAAATCATTAAATGCATCGCCCAAAGTGATTCCTTGTGAATCGCCTTCATCGACTGAGTCTTGTAGACTTCCAACGAGAGTAGTGTTTCCTCATCATAGGCTATTGAGAATGAGTTGTTGAACGTAATGAAGTCGTTTCTTGTGGCATCGAAATGTTTGACTTGCAGATATCCGTTAGCTGTCATTAGATATCCTAGATCCGCTAGTTTGGTCAAACGAATGGTTTCATACATTTCATCACTCGCAATCAAGTTCACGTTCAATGTGTTTGTGGTCCATATGCTTGGTGGCAGTATAGCAGCTCTTACAATATTTGCCAACACCATTGCACAACATTGAACACCTGCATTGGCCCATGTAAACACATCTTTATTTGCTTGATGCCATGCAGCGCAAACAAATCTAGATCTTTCATTGATTGGCATGTAAGCATTTGCAGGTTCTTTGCGGCTGATTTTGCCCCACTGGTTGTTACGCAGGAATAGCAATTGAATGTACATCAGCGATGTTTGCTTCTTCATTGATTTTCATATCCCGATAAAGTGGTTTGTTTTGAATTAGCCAGCTGAGTGCATTGTAAATTGTAAATCTGTTCACGATGTATAGAGAATGCACGTGTGATGTTGATATTTTCAAGATGTTCTGTGATGACAACCATTCCAGTATTAGCCATTGCTCGTGGACGTGTGTTACTAACTTCAAAGATGTCCATAGCAAAGAGCACTGCCTGTCCACGGAAGCCATGTTGACCGAATACTCGAGTTAATTTGATGATGTTCACGAAAGGTTTAACGCTTGATAATATTCGTTGTTCTGGCTGTGGTAAGACTCGAATCACATCTGGAATTTGACCAGGATCCAAATTATTCCAGTGAGCTTTTGGCGGTGCAGCTCTATTGTTACTGCTGATGTGTGGCTTGCAACGTGAACACATTTGCAATGTTTGCTTTGATGACAATTCGGTTGGTAAATAGTGCAATGCATTTTCATTACCTCGTATTTGGATAGCAGCGTTTGGTGCGGACTTCACAGATTTGATTGCAGAATGTTTTGAAAAGGGCAACACTCAATTCATTTGTCCACCACAACCAGCTTAATTTTGAAATGGAAAAAAAACCCATCAATATTAATGTCAAAAGTTCGCTTTAAATGGGGTTAGTGCAAAAATGACGTCACTAACCATGCATTGTCCCATTGCATGCACTACATCATAATAAACTTTAGTAAAGACGCCAAAGCATTGAATGCGACTGTTGACCTTAAATAAGGAAAAATACAAGATAGTACCAAAAAAAATGTTCCAGGCGAGTTTCGAACTCTCGACTCCTATGTTGATATTAATATATTGTTCATAATAAAGGTTTTTGGGTTAGATCGCGTTATTTATAAATGTGTCGTAACCCTCCACCACCAGACACGGTCAAGCAGCAAAAACGTGTCATGTTGACAAAAGACAAATAGTTCAGTACTTTAGCCCACCGGTGTGTTGAAGAGTGATTCCACAACATTTACAGTTTGAGTACGACGTTTCGCTGGTAATTACATCCAGCAGCATCGGGCAATTCGCCAGAATTGGTAAGCCCTCACTTGCTCCCGGTCTTAAATAGAGCAGCAGGGTGACGTCATCATTTAACTCGTTCAGGTGCAGTGATTTGGGGGGGGGGTATTGTAATTATATAATCGATTGGTAATCAGTCAATGGTTATTTTTAGCAATGAGTGGTAGATTGGTAATTAGTTGTAATGTGTGTTATTGTGATTATATGCTACGTTAGTAATCCGTTAATTAGTATGTGTTTCCCCTATAAGGAATTGTAATATGTATTATTTAATAATACGCTTCCAAGCCGCACTAAGCCTGTATCTGTCAGAGCGATTAAAGTTATTTTTATTTCTCTCAATTTTAATGGATTCTCTAATTAGGTTTTGCCAGTAATAATTAGTTTTACACAACACTTCAACGTTATCAAAATCAATTGAGTGTCCTTGTTGACAAGCATGTTCTGCCACTGCCGACAGTTGTGTTTGAGATCATTTAATATTTCTTTGGCGTTCTTTTAGTCTTATGCTGATGTTACGTCCCGTCTGTCCAATATAGCATCTGCCACATAAACAATTAATCCGATATACACCTTCTGTTGATAATTTAGGTAATTCGTCTTTACTGTGTAAAGGCTGTGTTATTTTACCGTTTAGGCCATGTCCAAGCAAAATATCTAGGAACGGGAGTGTGTTATTCTCCTCTATTTCCATGGTGAACTGTATGGCCGGGTTTTGTGCATTGAGATGATTTAGAAAATCATTAAGTGTATCTTTACCATGTGGCTAGACAACCAAAGTGTCATCCACATATCTAAACCAAAAATATGGTTTTAATGTGCTCGAGGCAAGTGCTCTGATTTCAAAGTTTTCCATGTACAGATTTACTATAGCAGGAGATAAAGGAGAGCCCATTGCTGCTCCTTCCTTTTGTTTAAAGAAATCCCCTCTCCATAAGAAGTAAGTGTTATTTAAACAATGGTCAGCAAGTTTCGGAATATCTTTTGGTAAACCTGTATTCTTCACCAGTGTATCAAGTAATTTAAGCGATTCGTTCACTGGAACCTTAGTGAATAGAGAAATCACATCAAAACTTACCCGAATATCATTAGGGTTAAGTTTAATATATTTAATCACATTAACACGATGTTCTGAAATTTGTATGAATGAAGATGTCCTACCGATGTAGGGCTGTATTTGTTCAATTATATATTTTGCTAATTTATATGTGGCAGAGCCAATTGTACTGACTATGGGTCGTAATGGGATGCCGATTTTATGAATCTCTTTGGTAGCCCATACAGTCTATGTGGTTATGAGGCCCTTGGCTTAATTTGGTATTGCTCATTCTTAGGGATTAATGAATTTACAATTATTGCAGTAGTTGAAGTGTTGTGTAAAACTAATGATTACTGGCAAAGACTAATTTTGAGAATCCATTGAAATTGAGAGAAATAAAAATAACTTTAATCGCTCTGACAGCTACAGGCTTAGTGCGGCTTGGAAGCGTATTATTAAATAATACATATTACAATTCCTTATAGGGGAAACACATACTCATTAACGGATTACTAACGTAGCATATAATCACAATAATACACATTACAACTAACTACTAATCTACAACTCATTACTAAAAATAACCATTGATTACCAATCGATTATATAATTACAATACCCCCCCCCTCCGCCTCAAATCACTGCACCTGAATGAGTTAAATGTGACGTCACCCTGCTGCTCTATTTAAGACTGGGAACAAGTGAGGGCTTTACCATTCTGGCGAATTGCCCGATGCTGCTGGATGTAATTACTAGCGAAATGTCGTACTCAAACTGTAAATGTTGTGGATTCACTCTTCAACACACCGGTGGGCTAAAGTAGTGAACTATTTGTCTTTTGTCAACGTGACACTTTTTTGCTGATTGGCCGTGTCGGGTGGTGGAGGGTTACGACACATTTATAAATAACGCGATCTAACCCAAAAATCTTTATTATGAATAATATTGGTCGCGAAAGTAATATGTGTTAAATTAATATATTGTTTTCACAAAACCTGTTCGCAAAGCACTCGTCGAATAAGGCTTGCATACAAAATATAATTTGCTTCAAACGAGGCAAGTAATTGATGCCGATTTTGATTCAGGGATGCATTGTGTCTGGATCTGAGTGTGTGTGCTAAAGTTGGGATCGATTGGACAACGGAAACTGGACAACATTTTGATTACAAGATTAATTCACGGCATACAGAGGAATGAAGTTTCATAACTCGATTGGAAAAGGGGAACAGGATGACATTTTGATTACAAGATTTGACGACGACATACAAACAGAGGAATGAAGTTGAATTTTTTTCACAATTTCATTTAAATCACCGTCGAGAAGTACGTCAATGATGCCATGCCTGCTGCCACATCAACGCTTGCCTGATTTAATTGATTCTTTTAGAAATGAATCTGCCTCAGACACGTGGCGCCTGCTTCTTGGGCGAGACGATTCGAGAGTATAGGGACCGCGGCGTTTTTGACTAACACAAATCTTTATATAAATAAATAATAAGGCGTCCATAGGAAATGTTAATTGCTTTAAAGGAGCCAATTAATTGCTTAATTGATAAGGATTTTGATACAGGCATGCATTGTCACTGGATCTGAGTACGTGTGCGAAATTAGGGATTGATTGGACAACGGGAAATGGACGAAATGTAGATTACAAGATTTGACCAAGACACAGCTTTCAAGTTAAATCAAACCGTTGAAAAATAAGGCATCAATCACAGTACACGATACTAATAGTGGCTGAAACAGAAAAACGAGTTGCTCAACCTATTTCAATAAAAACAGGGCAATTTTACTTTGAATAAGTTGAATAATTTATCCTACCATTTTAATGGAAACCCACTGACTGTACACGTATTAATTCATTTTTCATGTATCCCCATGTCTCCCCTTCAAAGGAGATTTTAATCATTGGGCTCTCACTTGGTTGTAAATTAAATTTATGAACGAAACAGTCATTCCATTCTTACTGACCATGTAGCCACCCCTATGAAGTGTATCTTATTTACTTTTGTATACTGCATGAGTAGCATTGCTTAGTGATCAATCATAATGGTGTCATGAATGTTTCCAAGTTTTTTTTTCACGACTGGTCTACATTTTGCAAATATCGTCATCAGTCGCTTGCTCCTGTCCGGAGCGCGTCGCGGTCCCCACGAGACACCGCAAGGCAACCCCATCCTGAGCGCGCCCCCACTGAGAGCAGTCCAAGACCGTGGTGTTTGACGTCAGCCTCAACAGTGGCATACATCAACCATCGTCTCTTCCGATGTCGGCTCCAGTCCCGTGGTATAGCGCCGCTGTTGATGATGATGGTGCACATGGCTCTGGTGCGATCGGCTGTGGCGTCCGCCCCGGGCAACATCGGTCCAAAGGGAGAGAAGATGATGGACCTCGGCGTCGGTGATGCACTCGCCGAAGTCGATGCCGAGTATCCGTCACAGACACCGCTGGTCGATTGCGTCCGGTTTCCTACGCAGATACGCTGTCATTGACCACGTCTCTGAGCCGTACACCAGTACGGTGGAGGATGCATGCTTTGTTGAGGCAGATGTTTGTTGCCAGTGTAATCCTGGAGCGCCAGATGTATCTGTCGTGCAGTTTTTCACACTGGTTGCGCCGAGTTAGGTGAACGATTTTACCACTTGAGCATTGTTGCGTGCTGTTTGCGCTTGGTTCAGAGCATGTGGCTGCTCAAAAGTGGTCTGTATTTTGGTTTTTGCCCAGGCCAAATTTTCAAGTTTCAATTTGCATGATCTCCAGTGCAAGGCGTAGCACCTCGAGCATCTCAGCCAGCAGGGCAACATCGTCTGCATAGTCCAGGTCGGTGAACACTTGGGGGCCTAGGCTTGCTCCCAGGTTACGTTGGTGGACGGTGCATTGCACAATCCAGTCCATTGGGGCAAATATGGTATTCTTTTAAATCACACGTGTATTTAAATTTGTGGGACTTTGGGCTGCAAGATGATAAGAATGCACTTGCAACTTTGCATCACGAAGGACAAGACTGCCATAGAGTGGATCACAACTAACTTTAACTGAAGCCCTTTTACTCAGAATTGCCTAATTTTCAAGACTTGCAAAATGTCGTCGTTCGTATGGGTTACACGAAGGTGGAAACCAGAGAACCGAGAGAAAACATACATGAATGATGGGAGAATCTAAATTACAAATACATCGAGAGTGATCGGCAACAAACTGGCTGTACTACCTCCTGCAGGCACATTTTCTTCCTGTAGGTGGGTGTCTCGAGCACCAGTACACCCCATCCAAGACATCGCATTAAAGAGAGATGCGCCACCACACCTGGCTAACTTAGGTAGCCATTTTACTGTTTCCTTATGCTGTTCACCAATTCTGGTAACGTCTTCAAAAAGAGGAGAAGCATACTTGGAATGACGTGGGCTATAGAACACAAGCAGGTTAAATTTATTATATTGACTGTTGAGAAAAGTAAGCAAGTGGGTTTGGCCAGGGGCACTGTGCTGGAAGGGGATGATGGCCGTTGGTTAAGAATGTTGATTAGTGGCGGCAGCCAAAGGAGGGAATTCACCCAGCAGAATGTCCACCATGGAGATGGAGCAATGAAATCAGCTCGTGCAGGCTGGACTTATTCCACAGGACCGTGGGTAATGTCGTCGGCTTGGCGTGACCTTGGTCCAGCAGTGGATTGATCATGGCTTTTGTGATGATGACTCGCGATATCTTCCAGGCCGTATGAGATGACGTTACATGGCGGTATGATGGGCCGACGTGAGATGGCGTCGCACCGTGACATCATTGTGTGTGACATTGCTCGGAGGCATGGCGTCTGACATCGCCTTGGTGAAAAGGCGCTACTATTTAGAGCTATTTTTTTTTGTCACTGCGTTTTGGAAAACTCTTTGATCAAATTGGGCAGTTTTAAATCGAATAAGTCCCTTCTAGCAACAATTTAGTTTTTTTTACAAAAATTGCAAAGTCTTGTTCACATTGGGTCATCTCTACATGACCTCTCTACAGATGGACAACAAAGCAAATTATTTCAATCCGAGCTGGAAAGTATTAAAACAACAATTACTAACCCATACTCTCTAATTAATATACAATATTTCCATAATGGTTACTGCAGCTCTTTGGGCAGAGCTAGATTATGAAAGTTTAACGTCATCTTCATAATGATGCTGACAAATTGCAGGTAATTCATGCCTTTGACAAAAGTGCCAGTTTGGGAACGAGATCCAATGGGGGTGATTAGAGAGCACTGTGCATGAGCAATGTGGCTGTCAAGTACACCTCAAGGCTGCGCTGAATGCCTTACATTATATTTACTTTTGGTGCTATAAAACCTCACGTTGAGCTTATAGTGGGACTCCGAATGATCCGCTCGAGAAAGGCAGTTGGCGTGCTCGTGAAGCTTCACGTGTGTGTATGTCTGCGCTTTTGTGAGTGCTCTGTGAATTTTGAGGTCGGAGTAATTGCATGACTGCAGTTGTATATTGTGTGTGCTTTGGTGACTGCCTGAGTACAGTGTATATAAGCCTGCTCACACACAACCTTGGCATTGTAATGACCGGTAAGTTGCCCCGTACTTTACCAGGCGTCAGGAAAATTGATTTGAATGCAATGGATACAGACAGCTTGTGCAAGATGTTTATGTGGGTCCGTGTTGTCTTCTCGAACAACTTTCAATCACTCCCTCAGTCTGTTAGTGCATTCATCATACGGCAGTGACGACTTACCAATTAGGCAGCTATTTTGAATATAGTTGCAAAGCCATGGTTTGAAGCGAAATGCTGTTTTGCTCTCTATGGTTTCAAACATTAGGGCTGTCCTCCTGTGGCCCATAATGTAACGTTTTTTACAACTCAATTTGTTCTCATGATTGGTCAAGATTTGTATTTTCAGCTCTTTTACTATTGTGCCGATTAAAAGTTAACATTGCAAAACTTATGTAATGTCATGACGATCAATATTGTTAGAATCGCTTGAAATGTAAAATAAAGCAAATTACACACACTGAAAAGTAGTCTGTCCAATGCCTTTCAATCAAATTCAGGTACATACCTAAATTTGTAGCTATACTGCATAGCATGGTTTGTTAAACTAATAGCACACTGTGAAACTTGGTGCATAAAAGCCATCCTAAGGTATTGATTGGATTGTGATGAATATAGTAGGTATGAACAGCGAAGGGTGAAGCTGGTGATTAATTAAACAAACCCAACATTTTCTTTGGCTCTTTCGGTAAAGTCACGTAGAATGAGAATAAAATAATAAAATAACACAATGAAATTCTCACGACGTTTCAGCCACAACGCAAGCGGCCGTCTTCAGGTGAAAGGTACAGAACTGTCGGGACGGACAGAGCTTCAATGAACGATGTTAAGATTCGTAGCGACTTTTTAAGCTGGTTGGGAGAAGTGAGGCACCTTGACAAAGGGGTTTACATATCAATAGCTTAGGGATTAGCTTGTGACTGGTCACAAGCTAATTACCAACCATGCTAATCCGAGGTAGACAGAGCCATGGTATTCAATGTGTGAATTGTTATGACATTGACTATTGAATAAGACTCATGGTTACAAAATTTGTCTTCTCCCAAACTAAGATTATTCATTGAGTTAGCCCACATGTTTTAGAAGGCTGCTACTAATCAGATGAATTAAATGATTGACATGTCTTCTCTACCAGATACTAATTACAGTGAGGAATAACATGTTTTCCCATTTTGATAATCCTCATGACATTGCAATGGCCAGAGGTGGTATAGTCGGTATCATACCATATAGTCCAGACTTTATTTTGAGGATGGTGAATTGGTTAATTTAGGAAGGACGATTGTAGGATTATTGTGAGCATTGTTAATATTTGCTTGTGTTGTGATCGAAACGTGATATTGTTATTTTGATTATTTGTATCTATTTACGTGGCTTTACCGAAAGACCCAAATAATATTGTTAATATAGTACGTTATTCAAGAAAATGGTGTGCATATTTTTGTTATGTGGGGAAACTGATGAACTGAGCTACGTGGATGAGCCTGTTTTACATTAGCTTCATGACTGCAGTTTTTTTGATGAACAGTTATTTCCAGGGCTCTATTGTAAAATCCATTTCTCAATGGTCTCTCACCTAACTTTATGCAACGTCTTTACTCATAAGATTATTATTGCAGAAAAAAAGATTGGGATGTTCAGAAATGTATATAATCCACTAACCATAAGCTTAATATACATGGGCCATCAGCAAATGTGTTCTGACCTGATCTTGTTTGACCAAACAATATTTTCTTCCTGCATATAGCAGATTTTTTTGCTACTTTAGATGGACAGGGGACGTTGTTCTAGATTTAACAATTTTACAGATGAGATATTTTAGCTCGTCTATAAATTTGTTTTGTTTCACCCCCTCATGTGGGACATTTTATATCAAATATTTACAGCAAGGAGAAGTTATTGCTGTATCTATTTTATATCAACGGTTGGCGACTGTAGGCAGTGTACATAGTCAAAGCAAGCTCTTGAAACAAAGTTCCCAGTTGTTTTGGGCATTGCAGACATCGGATTTTCGAATGCATTTTGGAAAGTTTTAAGCGCATCAGTCCTAATCTTGACCCAACACCTTCAATATAAAGTTTGTGAAAAGTGTAATGTGTTACAAACACAGCATTGCACACTTGTCACGTGACCACCGTGAAGATGAGGGGGAGTATATTATTACACGAAATATTTAACCCTAACTCTTTACCTAAACTCCATACGAGGTAAGGCCCACTTAGCTATATAGCTCTTTTGTTAAATGATAGCTCAACGAAGTGGCTTGTCACATGGCAATGCTAATGCAGCCAAATACTCGAAACGCGTGTTTTAAATGTGGAGGGGAAAAACCGGAGGATCTGGAGAAAATTCCATGTGACCACGGAAAGAACGTGCAAACTCCAAATGTGCAGGCCGTCAAAGGTCGAGATTGAACACACGACCTCCAATGTAAATTGTAGATGCCAATGTTAAATTACTGAATTATACTGTTAGTCAAAATAAAAATAGATAATAAGACTTTCCTGTTATCAATTATCCTGTTATTCCAATTCAGTCTTTATTACTGTGACATCGTTTATAAATCAGCCCCCAGTACTGTACTGAAGAAGCTTGACTCAATTTATCACTCGGCCTTAAGGTTGCCATTGAGCTGCCCATATAGGACTCACCACTGTGATCTCTACATTGGGTCAAACTTAACATCTATTAATGTTCGATGGCTTGTGCACCAGATCTTATTTATTCACGATGTACTTACAAAAAAATGTACAGACTACCTGCTGGATCTCCTCTCTGTTTCGAAGAACAAATGTGACCCAAGGTCTTGGCTCATTTACCAGCTTCACATTCCTTTTTGCCGTACAAATACTGGAGGAAGGGCCTTTGCCATTGATGCCCCCAGGGTCTGGAATGCTATTGCCAATAAACTACAACTTGAATCACAACCTATGAGATCTTCACTCAAAACTGCTCTAGAGGAGTTGTACACCTCTAGCTGCCACTGCTATTCAGTGGCCTAAAATCAAATGTTTTGCTCCAGATGACCGCTGCAAAGTATGATCTTGTGTTTTGATTTAGTGTGCTAATCTTTAAAGGTCCATTGAAAATTTTTGATAGTCCTACTGATGCTCCTGCTGTTGTGGAGTGACTCATGCAGCCAGCTATGGCTACAGGGTTTGGTGGTACATGTTGTTTATGTCGTTTATTGTGACATTTCGGTCACAGTTCCTATGATCACTGTTACATTGCTTTTATGGCTTTATTTTGGTGATTTCGAAAACTCATTTGGTTTGGCCATGTTTGTTTGTTGTAGTACGTAGTTAGACTGATGGTTTTAATTTAAGTTGTCTTGTTGTTGTTTGACTTGCATCCCACTGGGATTTTTGCACACAGCGTTGGTGTACGGTGCTTTTTCTGGAAGATTTAGCTGTTTTTTCAAGGATTATTTTGTTTGCGCGTAGTCACTTTAAGATGTTTTCTTGTTCATGTTTTTTGTTTGTTGCGGTTGCACCCGATTCAAGAGCCGAATGGCTCACAGGGCTATACCAAATAAATGAAAAGCTTTAATAAATTATGGATAACTAGCCTTTTGCCCTTCCTAGGATGGAAGCTGTAATATTTAGGAAAAAATTGAGCAGTGTATAATTTTATCTTGTGTAAATTTAATTGCAGTGAATCTTGCACGAAAGTATGTCATCAAACACTTCATTGCTTTTCACTGTAGCACTGTATTAATGGCAGTGATTCTTGCACAAAAGTACGTCATAAAACACCTCACTTCATGTCACTGTAGCACTGTACATAACTGACCTTCAATTTGTTCAAATTCACTGCTCTGAACCTTTATTCTCTTCTGCTTTCGGTCGCTGAGGTTGAATTTAAATGGAAATCGATACAACATCTGGAAAATCAACGAGAAATTTATATTTTACCATAATGTAGAAGCATAAATTAGACTTCCCTTTTGTCTCAAGTGCTGAAGAAATAAAGACACAAAATCCACTTTGTTGCTGCGTAGAATTGTTTATTAGATTCACTTTCAATAAAGAAACGGAAACTTAAAGTGAATTTGCGAAAAAAACCAATATTTTTCCGCTCGACCTTCTGTGTGAGTGTAAAAATTTACCCGCTCATGAATATTAATGATGGGGGGGGGGGGTGCGCCATCTAGAGTGATGTCACGTGCGTTACACACAAACAGACAGTAGTAATAGGTAAAACCATGCTATGGATTACGGGATCAATTGCGGCTCAGTGGTTCTCAGTAGATGACATGCTTAACGTTGAATTCATGGAGTTTATAGCCAATTGAGATGTATTTTCTGGAAATTGTAATTGTCCATTCATTCGTAAAGTGTGTGGACATATCACAGGACTGGGTGGGCACATTGCATGACATTTCAAAAATGCATCTCTTTCATAAAAAAATGCCATCACGTGAAATAACGAGGAACCTGATATCATGGTATCAGTTTGTGGAAGGAGTAGCCTAGACATAGTATACCATAGGGAGGAAAGGACTTAAGCATTTGGTTTTCCACCGTCACATTTCACAGATGGGTTTGAGCTTGTATAAATCATTATTGTCCAGAAGCTGGCAGGACTTGTATCCCACATGCAGAGACCAGTGCGTCTCAACATTGTAGCAACCAATGCAAAGAGAAAAGCCATCATACTTTAAAGACTACCTACACACATTGAGTTTTTTTATTAAATGCAATATCCTGTGGAGTATTTTTGATTGTCTTATGCTATCTGCTGTATTGTGTGTTATGTCGTTGTTAAAGACCGTCCTCTGCTTCAATGGATCCTTGAAAGATTTGCACGAGGATTTGTTTTTGTTGCAGGAATTCCACATACATTCCCAGTTTTATTTTTTGCAATTAAATGCTTCCATACTTATTAAATGTTTGTTAATATCAACCAGATGTCTTTTAAAGTAAGGTGAAGGTGTAGGCCTACAACTGCTTGCTCATGCCGCTGCTGGCAGAAGGGTCTGCACTAGGGGGAGCGCCAGAGGTATGTTCGGCCTCCTGTTTCCATGCTGGACAAACCTCAAGTATGATTGCATTCAATTGTCCATTCACTCTGTTCTATGAACCAGCTACTCTATCAATTTTACACACATGAGCTTTTAAATGTCAATCTGGTAAGGCACTGCCTTACCGACACATGCTTCACCTGGAATGGTACATTCTACAAACAAAATGAGGGTACCTCAATGGTTTCTCCTTTATCGCCAGTGGTTAGCGAATGTTTTCATGGAGAAATTTGAGACAGATGCCATCCAGACAATCCACCCTACGTCCTTCCACCAAAATCCTCTATAAACTCTTGTTGCAGCAGCTCTTTCTCCTATGTCAGCAGTTCTCCTGCTGCATCTGTTCCACCTGATGACGGACGCTTGTGTTGCGATCGAAACGTCGTGATTAATTTTATTTTATACCTACGTGACTTTACCGAAAGAACCAAAGAGTATTTTAAACTATGAATCTTGTTTCTCTATATAAAACAAGTATTTCCTGGCAATTAGTGTAATTATCTTAGTAATGACGATAATTATACATTTATACATAATGGTCAAATTGGATTAAAACTATTTAAATAGTTACCGTAAAACAAAACACGAACATCTTTTTTTTCTTTTCTCCTGAAGCTGTCTGCAGTTTGGAGCACTTGCTAAATAAATGCCGTTGCCTGTATTCCAAGACGGTGTACTTTTCATAGCTGACAAGTGCTAAATAAGTCATAACTTCTGCATAGGCGAACAGTGGTTGTCATGGATATCCTGCTCACAAACATAGGACTGTGGAA